CAACTTATATATATATATATATAGTTATTACATATTTTGCATGAAATATATCACATTCACTGTTAATATTAATATACAGGTTATTTTATACTCTGTGTGTGTTGTATATAAATACGTGAGTGCTTCTGTTACAATTGCAAACCGATGATTTACATGTTTGTTTGCGTTGTGTTAAGCTGATATTAATAATAATATGGGTGTGTCTATTTATATGTAAAAATCTTTTGGTCGAGTAAAAAAAAAGAACCAACTGAATAGAAAATGAATTCCTCTATCTTTTTGAGCCATAATAATGTGGCAGAAAGGAGAGAGAGAGCGAAAGAGAAATACGACAAAACAGGGAAAACATGGTAAAATTTATTATTATTACTATTAGTAGTAGTATTAGTGGTGGTAGTAATATTGATGGCAGTTGGATAAAATGAAAAATGATTCATCAACTGAATATAGAAACAATTTTCTCACCACACACTACAAAATAACTGTAAGGCAAAAGTTAACTTTCAATTTTGTCTTATTTAACAATATTTCATTGTTGTTAATTTAATTCGACATCATGGGCATAGATGCACACCATATAATACACATGAAGGTATAAGAAAACAGTGTACAATAACATATACCATTCATACGGAAATTGATAGGTATATACATGCATATATGTATATAACTTTATTTATGTATATATATATGTGTGTGTCTGAATATTTATGATCGTACTATTCCAATGTCCAAATCCCAAACAGACAATGAAGAATAAATGATTTGTATTTAATTTGTTCGACTATACAGACGTCAGGTAACACAAATTTTTATTATGTTGAAACATGTTCATATATACATATATATTAAGTGTTTGTCTATAGCTGATGGGGCCTTTCTATATACACATCGAAAATAAAACGGTGTTTATTTATAAAAGTGCATGCATTAAAGAAGTTAACAGTGAAAAGTTTATTTCTGCATGAATGCTTTTGATGATGTGTATTAGTAATTTTTATGGATAGTTCAATTTCTTTATCTTTTTGTCAGTAGTTAATAGGATTATTAAGATATATATAATGATGACAATGCTAGCCATGATAGTTTAAAAAAACATAGGAAATGATAACAGTTTTGATATATTGAGTAAGGTGAAAAAAATTTTCATTGTACGATATGAAGAATTCAAATATACATATCACATTGCAAAGAGTCAGGCGTGATATGATTATATAACCATTCATCGTTTTCATTTAAAACTCAGTTTTTATCTATTGTATTTGAAATCAGAAGATTTAATGTGAAACGTTTAGTTCGTAATAGTTACGAAGTTTTTCGTCTAAAAGAGAGATGATCATCGTAGTAACATTTAATCAGTATCATATACTAAGCATGAGTAGAATGATTACAATTCAATTGTATTATTCAATGGTTACATTCATATTCGAAATCAATACAAAATTAACTTTCAAGGTTTTTCATAGCGTTCAATTGAACATTCCCTATACTTTCAGAATTCATCTCTTACAAACAATAGAAATCGTAGAAATATGTATAAATAAACTTAATGTATGTTCACATGAAAATTTATTCAGTTATTTAATTTACCACTGAGCTTCTACATAATTACGCTTACGCTTCTTTTCCAAAATTTTGCTCAATTTTAATCTCTGGTCCTATTCTCTTTTCACAAATAACACTAAAAATTATGTATAGTTACTCAATTTCAAACATTATTCCCGCTTTTATTCTTACGCAACCAGTAACAATGAGAAAGGCCAAAAATGTTATGAATTTGTTTCAATTCGCGCCAATAGGTACTGATCGATATGGCGAACCTGGAGTCTTGAAGGAATTAGTGGTCCTTGTCAGATTTGAAGCTGTATCACTCAGTTTTATAGTCAGGGACGTCACCATTGAGCTTTTCGAGCCTCCTTTGAGAGGATGTTTACATTGACTGACTAGTGAGTTTCAGTCTCGCAGGAAGAGCTATTTCCCTTAAGGTCACAGATGCATCCTGATGATGAGTGTCATCTAGTAAGAAACATATCTTTAGTAGAGTTTCCAAACAACAATTATAAATAATCTACTATCAAAAAATTATATACTGGAATTCGCGTCACTTGAAGTCTGATCGACACAAATTAATCAACATCAAACATTATACAAGCATGAAATTGGTTTATATTCAGTAATCGATCCGCATACATATTCATTTCGTATAGTTCCATACAATCAAAATTTTGTAGAAATGATTTATAGTGTAAATAAAATGGTAAATTATCTTGTCCACAAGCTACTCACAGATGATAACAAAAATGACCATCAACAAACAATCTTCAGATTGTAGGAAGTCGATAAAATTTAGAATTCACCATTAATCCATTTCGTCATCAAGTAATCTGAGTTGAAATATTAAGCTACTCAGTTTCCATAGAGTCAAATCAACTTGGTCTTACAATCTACAGTTTTTCATTGATTAATTATAATTAAGGACAAAATTGATCTGAAAAAATGTGATGCATTTGCCTCAAATATTTCGATAAATTTAATTACAATTCACAGATCAACTTCATCTTTTTTTGTCACAATTTATTATTGGGATTCATTACTTTGAATTACAATTAGCTTTTAAACAAGTAGTAGTTTGTAATAATCTGCTATATTTTATATTGAGAATTTCCCTAAATGTAACCAAATGTACGATAATGATATGATTATTGAGATCATTAAAATATTTTCTATTTCTCAAATAATCTTCCACAAAAACTGTTTGAAGTCATAGTGGTATGATTATTTGGTTGAGTGAGTTTGTATATAAAATTTTCTTAAATATATTATTTAACATAAGATCATATAACTCATTTGAAATCTTACTCTACTAACTTGCAGTTTAGATTGCCATACTATTCTGAATTCACTCTTGTATTATTCCTAATTGGTGTCTGTTATCTTAATCTATAAATTTAGGTGTATCTTATGTGCTTACTGAGTTGTTCGGTTATCTTTTTCTCCTCTTATACAAGTTTCCTCACACATGCTAAATTGCACACTCCCACAACACATGGTAGATGTGAACAGTTATATATTCGCATTTCAGCAGTTGATTTACTCCTAGGGCAGTTCCATCCTCCTGATCGAGCTGCGCATCACAATCCGCTTTAGCATTCATGATGAGTATGTTATCTGCAAACTATTCAGTTGGAATACAGCAATACTTAGTTTCAACATCGTTATATGATATGACAACAATCCATCCATAATAACAAAGGTACTTTATAGTGAGGAATAATGTTTTTATTCTAATTAACTGCATATATTTCAATGATGAACTGATTGGAATATTTTCTGACTCACTAAGCAATTTGTCACTAACTTGTAGACATTCAAACAGCAATATTTCAGGTGTTCTATGAAAGTAACTAATAAAGTAAACAGGTGATTAGATAAGTAGGTTATCAGTATCATATTGTCACATGATCTACAATTTTCAGTGGTACTTTTGATGATATCACTTCATCATAAAAGTCATCTTGTATTGGTTGTTCAAATCCTTCCTTTGATATCATGATGTTCAACGGATCAGTTTCTTTTAGCATATTTGCATCCAGTATGGATTACTTGAATATTCCCATTAAGTCACAAGCATTTGGTTAATATACAGATGTATTAAAAACAACGTATATATAGAATATCATATTAATTAATTATAATATAAAATAAAATTTCATGTTTTAGTTATTTATTACAACTTTGTTTAATAACTCGTTACCATTTAGATGGTGGTTGGAGGTAGTCAACAGGAATCCCTGGACCCAGGTTTCGTGCTACTTGGCACTCGTCAGCAAGGTGTACCTGTAATCTTGAGGGAACTGTTGCTCCCTGATGGATTCGATCTCGTGTCACCCAGCTCCACAGTCAGAGACGTTACCACTGAGCTATCCGAGTCGTGACTAACCTCCTGTATGACTGAGATGTAATCACAATTGATTGATCACTGGATGGTGATCAATCTCATGCTTGTCTAGTCCTTATTAGTGCAGATCGAATGCTATCGATCATGTTGCAGTGTTGAGTTACCTAGACTGTTGACCACATTGCAACATGATCGATAGCATTCGATCTGCACTGATAAGGACTAGACAAGCATGACATTGATCACCACCCATTGATTAATCAATTGTGAAGTCGTTACCATGTTAGCAAACCTCAACAAATCCATTTTATTATCACAATTATCCATCACTAACTGGTATAGTTTATAAGAGTACACTTCAACGACTATATGTAACTTAATGGAAAATAATAATAAAACTAGTCATAATCATATTAATAATATAGTAGATGAAAATTTATTTTTTGATAAATGAAAAATACAAAACAAAAAAATACACAATTAATCATAATAGTATGATCTCTATTCGAGTTACAATTTATTTTCCATTGTTATCATTGACTTATAAACTACTTTGATTGGTTTAATAATTTCGTATATGCATATAAATATTACTGTATATTAGAGTAAAGCCTGATGAGGATCTAATCGAAAACAATATTGTTCGCTTATATATGTTGTTCTAAATTTACAATTTATTTGAATAGTGAATAGTGCATGTACATGTGTGTGTGTCTCTCTCTCCCCCTGTATGTGTGTATGTGAAATAAAACCAAAGTGAAAACATATATCTCTAGTTACTAGTACTGAATATCTACTAGATATATATTTATGTGTATATGTGGCAATTATATCTTCCTTCTTATAATCGTTTTGATGTCTCACTATAAGCATAACTACAAATTATGTCTTTGTATAATAATGAAATGAATTAAATTATACAGTTTTATCTATTTCATGGACAATAGTTAAACATACATGATTGTTGGTATGTATTACTGATTCTTAATTGTACTCTCATTAACAGTTTGGCTTTTTAAAAGAAAAGTAAAAACTTCCTGTCTGTGTTTATATACATATATATATATTACACATTCATGTCATTTTGACCAAACAAATGATCTAGAGAGCAAGGCAACAAAATAAAAATTCTATTTATTACTATAATCTATTATGATAATACAAAACAAAACAAAACAATTCTTATCTAAACTATATAACGTTAGATAAACACAGTGCATATATGATGATAATATGTAGGTGATTGGAAAATCAGCTCAGTTAGTTAAATGGGAGTATTAAGCACCTGTCGACATTCATATAAAGTAGTAATTCATTTAGATGATCAATTAAGACATACATATATCTGTATATAAATAGACATGTGTATATATGTATCCATACAAACAAACAAACTATATGATATTTCATGAAGTTAAAATAACACTACTTTACATTCATCATCTTTTAGTAAAAATTGAAGGAGACGAATAATAAGTCTACTAATGAAAATAGAGAAACGAAACATTAAAACCCTAAATTTTGACTCAATCACTTATACACATAAAAAAAATGATGGTGATAGAATAATAATAGTAATAATACGCTAAATTAAATGAAAAAAAAGTATAGAATACATGTTTGGATTGGTTCCCAATATTATTTGTTTTTAGTAAGCCCTAATTATACTGTGCCCACCATTAGTGTGTCTATATATATGTATATATATATAGTGTAGAATTAAAGATACAAAAACATTAAATCATTTCAAATCATTTTGAGAATGGTCTTTCGAATTGAAGGTAAGTTAAAATTAGATTATTTAATTTGGTCATATAATAAAGTAAACCACATACTGAAGTGGAGATTATGATTCTTTGAATAATAGAGTATATATATATATATATATATATATGTTTGCAAATAAAAAGTACAGTTATATTATGTTTGACTTTAGATAATAAGACCTATTCTTTAAACATAAATTGGTTTGATATTTGTCATTGATTACTATCGTTGTATATCTGTAATGAAACAAGACTCTATACTTTGTTAATGATCCAAACTAAGGTCGTTTAGAACTTTTATTATAAAAAGAAGAAATATTAGTTTCTTTGTTAGAGAGCACCGATTAAATAAACGAACAATATATCAAATTGTTTACGTTAATAGCCAGATTTTATACTTGATCTACTAAATTATATCGAAAGAAAATAATTAATATAATATAATACGAAATCAAAATTGATTTTCTTAGAATAACCTCTTAATTTCAATAAGCCTGTTAAATATATAGAGATAAAAATATTTGTGACATCAGATTTCTATAGATTACTTTATGAAAGTTTAGAACCAAAACTTTACGTCATGAACTAGGCACTTTTTAACTATTCAAGAGTGAATTCGTTGTTAAAAGAAAAAACTTTTGATTTGACAATTGAATATCATTTTTCTCGGTTACAAAATATAAAAGAAACTTTTTAATGACTAGTTACAATAAATTTAAAATTTAGAATATTATTATTATTAGAAGCTTTATTCAACATTATATTTTGGGTACAACATAGAATTCTCAGCATAAAGTATTTCAACAAGTTTCCTTTTCTTATACCTTGATCGATTGTGACGATAAATTTTGAATGATGACCACTTAGATGTTAGGAGTTCGGTAATCCACATTTGATTAATGTTCATTCGTTTCAATGCATATTGCCGGCCACTATGATGTCGCTGATTGTACCTTTTTGTATCCCGTATAGCGAAAGGTTGTAAACTTTTCATAGACGCGCCTGAATAGATTGTGTGCACAGTAGACATAATGATGTGCCAAAAACAAACAACAAAACAGAAAACTTGATGAAATATCTAGATCGGAGGAACAGGTAGCCCAGATATTCAAGCAGGCCGCCTTGTTAAGAATGTTGATTTGTGACTTGGTTGAAGTTAGACATTAACACGGTTGGATGCCGTCCAGCTCAGTGGTCTAGTGGTTAGGCGCTCGCATGCGAAACTGATAGGTACTGGGCTTGAATCTCCCTGAGCGGGATCATGGATGCGCACTGCTGAGGAGTCCCATGCTCGGACGAAACGGCCGTTCAGTGTCTCCGGTTTTTCCATGGTGGTCTAGCTTAAATTGACTCATGATTTCAACTATTAAAATTTTGAAAATGCTAAATATTTTATTCATTATATCTGTATTTAGTAAGAATAGCTTTTAGTTTGGATGTGTTGTAAATTTGCAGGATGAAAAATAAAACAGCAACATTAATATACTGATAAATAGGAAAAAAATAAGCAAAATGAGTTTAAGCAATTAATCCCTTTGATTAATTTCGATAATGCAATGAGAAGTTTATCAGAATTATGTGATATAATTAGATGAACACATACCAAAATGGTTGCAGAAACAAATGGATTCCAATGGTCAAATAAGATCACAGGATAGACAGACATCATCCTCCACTGCGAAACATTTGATTGAGACTGGTCATAAGGTTGATATCAAGTCAGCATTTGTAGTGTTATTCAATAGCCTTCAAGGACGTATATTAAAGTTTATTGAAGCCTTGGTTATACGGTAATTGAACTCCCCCTTTACACTTAACCTACCCTGGTAATACTGATTTATTATCCAGAGTGGTAGTCACATTTGTTTTTGTGTAGTTTAATATTATTTTTTTCTTTGTTATGGCTTACCTTTAACCTGTCTAGTTGACCTTTTAATTTTCATATATAAATGTTCTTAACAAATATATGTGTGGTCGGATTGTTCGAAATGTATTGCGCAAATATATCGTATAATTCTGATAAACCTCGTCTTCATATTGCATTATCGAAATTCATCAAAGGGACAAATTGTTCTAAATATTTCCATTCGACAGACGTTTTACGAATAATGAATCGCTTGACTGAATCATCTTCTATTTGTTGAAGTGCTCTTTACAGTGAATCAGTCAGTAGAATAATAAAGAAAATTACTCAGTTGAAATGAAATTTCCTCTTTAGATATAATAGAAAAAAGTGACTTAATAAATGAAGAATAAATAGTGCTTTTATATGTCATATGTGGTAAAAAAAACAACCCACAATGACTGCAATGGTAATCATTTCCGTCTAAACAACTAAACAAAATAAACTCAAACTAGTACAATCTCGAAAATATAAGAAATTTCTGTTCAATAATACAAAATACAATACTATACAAATAGTGCTAAATGTAATTATAATATGATGATATCAAATGAACTTCTTGCTATACCTAACATTGATTTCATCTAAGTTGATATAAATTCCATGCGGCCTATTTGAATATCTGGACTATCTGTTCCTGCCATCTGGATATTTCAACAAGTTATCTGTTTTCTTGTCTGTTTTAATACATTATTATGCCAATTAATCGCATAAACTATTCAATAGCGTTTGTGACAAGTTTACGATATTTCACTTTACAAGTTACAAAACAGTCCAATCAAATACACCGTGGTTGCTGGGAATATGCATCGAAAAAAATATGTATATTATTTAGATATCGATTCCCGAACTGTTAACATCTAACTGGCGACCACTCAATATATATCTCAAGGATCGATCAAGAAATAAGAAAAAGAAACTTGTTGAAATACATTATGCTGAGAATTCTATATTGTACCGAAAATATAATATTGAATAAAGCCAATAATGATAATAATAATAATAATAGACTCAAACTGATGACATAATGATCAGCTACCACTAGCGTAGTTGTGTACAAAATTTCCGCTCCTTTTGAAGTACCGATCTGGACTCTGATCATGCTCTTGTTTGCGATAATCTTACCTTACATTTCAGTGGTCAAAAAATTCATCGTCCTAAATGAATCGATGTCAGCAAATTGATTTCAACTTCTGTTGCAACCAAATATCAAACCGAGCTAGGTAATAATAATAATAAACAGTCCTCATTTTATGAAAAAAACACACAAAGAAAACAACATTATAAGCAGAGATGGATAGTGGCTAGCAGTGGAATCTAGGACAAGCGTTTCGTCCTATTTGGGACTTGTCAGCTGGATGTACCTGCATCTCAGAGTTGATGGTCACTCTGGGACTCGAGGTCAGTACCGTTCGCTTCAAACGCCATCGTGTTATCCACTTAACTACTGAGTCCTGATAGTCACTTGCTTGTACAATGGGTTGAAGTTAATTCACTTGGTATTGTTTTACTTAGATCTTCTTTTAATTCATTTCAAATTATTTATTCATTCATTTATTTCATATTTTCTTTATTTCTAGTAAATCTTGGTAATGGATTCCTTCTATTTAAAACAATGAAACGGAAATTTAATCATATACAATCAGTGAATAAATTTAATATAAATAAAATAAAACATATAAAATATTGTCAAAAATATTGTACATATTGTAGTCCTGAACGATATACCATATTAATACATAATGAACATTTAAATCAAATTCATTATACAATGTGTCCATATGATGAATTATTAATTATGGCTAAATCAATTTGTACAAATTTAATGCAAGATAATAATCAGAACGATAATAATAATAATAATAATAATATAACAATCTTAGTCTTATCGTAAGTTTTCAATTTGTTTACTAATATGAAATTTATTTGTTTAATGATTCTCATCTTATTCAAAGACTAATATTTCAACGAAGAATAATCTTGTCGATAAATTCTCTTCAGGTTCTACAATTCATAGATCCAAATTAATAATCTGAAAAGTGTCTAGGTTAAAGGTAAAGTAAATCATTTAAAGTTAAAGCATGTGAATTTAAGATTTCAATAGTTAAAATCATGAATCTTGCGGGGGGGGGAGGAGGGTGAGATTATAGATGCGCACTGCCTGAAGTCACTAACTTCTAGTCTGAGCCACGTTGGTAGATGCAGACTACTTGGTTGGGGTCCGCGTGACTATCGTAACCAATGGTTGGAGACTCTTGGGGACATGGCTCAGAATCGATCACAATGGCGTCGGTGTATACACTCCCTGTCTTCCCTTAAACTAAGAGACTAAAATCACTTCATTCTTTCTGTCTACGAACTAATTCTTTCTTCCTATACTATATCCTTATTGCAACCTTTGACCTAACCACTCCTATGAATCCGGTGTTCATCTTGCTGTGCTAATGAGGTATGGCAACCTGGACCGATGCACATATGTGCCTGGTCCTACGTTGTAGCTGACTGACTGACTGACTGCTGAGGAGTCCCATACTAGGACGAAACGGCCATCCAGTGTTTCTAGGTTTTCCATGGTGGTTTAACTTCAATTGAATCATTATTTCAACCATTGAAATTTAGGATTGTCAAATACAATAAACAAGATGGAATAAAATTGTTAATGTTGACATGGCTTATATGGAATGTTAATTTGAATTAACTCATCTATTAAGTGGGAATTTAAGATCCATGATTAGAATAAATATGGTTTAGATAGAGTGAGAGAAATAATAGTGCAATTGTAATTCGATCAAATGTCTAATCAAAGACTATTTTATGTAAAAAAATAATTAGTAAGACATAAGTTGGGATGAATAAGAAGTAAGTGAATCATGTATTGGGGAGATTAATCATGATGTTTAACCAATAGTAATAATAATAATAATAATAATAATAATAATAATTTCAATGATTGAGATCATGAGTCAACTGAAACTTGACCACCACCGAAAACCTGGAACCACTGGAAGGCCGTTTCGTCCTATTGTGGGACTCCCCAGCAGTGCTCATCCACGATCACACCTCGCGAGATCCAAACCCACGTCTTATCAGTCTCGCGCGCGAGCTCTTAACCACTAGACCATTCACCTAACATCCAACCGTGTTAATGTCTAACTTCAAACAATCCACGAAATTGAGCGACATATTCACCATTGTCTTCGGTGAGTTACTATGTCACAACAGACCTGGTTGAATACCACTGGTCACTGCTTATCACTAGAACTTCACGAAATACCTCTTAAAGCATAATAGTAATAATAATAATAATACAAAGATTTGTGAATAAAGATAACACAGACAATTACATTTGACTACTAAAGGTCGGATTATTAATTTAATTGTAGAACCTGAGGAGAATTTATCGAAAAGAATATTCTTTATTCTAATATTAGTCTTGAAATTTATTTGTTGTTTTTCAAATAAATCTACACCATGTTAAATGTTTTACTATCAAACTAAGCGTTCTGAATATTGCAATTTTATAATGACGTAGAATATTTTGACTATTCTAGTTAACTTTGTTGACCAACATGTTAAGATAGTTGGAAGCTAACTAACTGATAGTCAGTTTTATGTTGTTAGTGAAGAGTTTAACCAATGTGCTTATTTAATTAAACGCTTATCGTGAGGTCTATTCATACTATTCCTGTTCACAGCTTAAAGGTTTGAAATAATTATGTGTAAAAAGAAAATCGTTTAAATAATAAGTTTGCTAATTTACTTGGAATGGTTTGAATGGAAAACAAAAGAAAAACTAATGTATGACGTTGTTTCATTTAGAGTTAAAAGCAACCGATACCTCATTGTTTAAATGATCTATACCTATTACTCATCAATGAATAAAGAAGAAAAGCAATTACTGAACAATTTGCACGTATTGATTTATAGGTTCTAATATATTCATGCTTTTCCTACTGTATAGTGTATATGAAATCAGTGGGTATTTTCTGGACATAAAATATATCCCATATGACTTCTTAGAGTTTCTTCAGTCTTTCAGTCTTAATATAGAAAATATTACATTTGATCTTTAATTTATTGACAAATCGGATATAACTATATAGACATTGCCCTGGCATGGCCGAGAGTGGGGTGGGCCCACCCTTCCTCTCGAAATGCTTTCACACGGTCGCGCGTATACAGCCTCTTCCAGGGAATTCCTACTCACTGCCTTCCCGTGGCGGGGGTGTTGTTTACGAAAATGAGGGGACGAAAAGCGAATGTCCGGCGCTTTAACCGGATCCCAAACCAATGGTGCACATGGGCTCCAGTATCCTGAAGGAACAAATGGCGTATGAACCAATCATTGGTCACCGGCTATCATGAGACTGCATCTCCTCACGATGCTCTACTGCCTTGTGGATCAGACCTTTAGGTCAAAGGCTCGGGGTGTGGCCCCCTAAGAAAACTACCTGTTTCGGTTCGGGCACCCGGGTAGCACATGGTATACAAATGAAAGTTATAAATTTTCCTGAGGAGACATATGACCAAATTCATAGTTTATCAGTTCAATAAAATTAAATATTTTGTCGCGACACTGATTTGCCTGAGGATATATTTCGTGAATGGTATAAACAATAAAGGAATATACTTGTAGCATTGAATTATCTGTTTTTGGAATTTTAATTAGATGACAAGAGATTGCTTTGTTTGTGTACGAAGTTATAATCATTTCATTTATGACAACAATAAGTTTAGACATTTTTAAAGTTTGAAAAAATAACAGTAATTCTGTTTCATTTCAGTCGTAAGTGTTTGAATCTTCCTGTTATTGGTTTTAAGAAGTGGAACTGATCGGTATTTTTCGGTATATGTGTATTCTGAGCATATTGCTTCTATAATGCTACCAGTCATTGAAATCATTAAATAGAGGTGGATATTGGCCAACAGTGTTTGTGACTAGTGGGAATATCGAGGCAATCCGTTCAGCGTGCACATGCTCCCTAAGAGATTGATCATTGTGGTTCTCAACACTCATGAAAGAACAATTCATATCATCACAATTAGATCACAACCCATTTTCAAAAACCTGTGACTAACCGTATTCAGTAGTTAAGTGGGTAGAGTGTTGGTGTTTCAAGAAAAAGATTCAAGTCCCGAAGTGAATATCAGGACTGATACAAGTACCTCCAGTTGACAGGTTCCAAATAGGACAAAATATGAGCCCTGAATTCCACCGCCAATCATTATCCATTTTCGCTTAATAATATCGCGTGTTAGTTAATTCAGTTTGTTTTGTTGATACCAGTACTAATTGTTAGATCATACTAAACTCTAATTATTAATCTATGGTCAAGGAAAAATTACAGAAAGAGTATGCATCGTATGGTTTCTGGCAAAAAATTGTAAGTGGTGTAGTTAAGAAAATGTTAGGAGTGAAATAGAAATCTCCGATGATACTCTATAATAATCATACAATCTCTCGAATTAAATGAATTTGGAATTATGAACCAATCGATTGCAGATGACGAATCTACGATTTGACCAGTTGGACATGGGGCCTGAATCTTCTAGAATTTGTATAAAGGTAGATTATGAGTGCTAACTACTTAGGATTCTCAAACTGAAAGGAAATGACCATCCAGTACTCGCTGGTTTTAAATCGTTCTCTAGTTGATATCAGCCTTTAACTAAAGCTATCTCCAAAAACTTATCACTTGAAATCACTCAAAGAGTGTTATATTACAAGCATATTCAGTAAACTTGTGAAAAAACTTAGCATACTACTTCAACTATTTCTTTATTTTACAGGATAACTTGCGGTAAACTTTCCAATTTTACAAGATACAATCCTGTTCTTATTAATCGAAACATCAACACTAGTACCAACAACAACAAGAACAATACTCCTCCTCCTACCAATATAAGTAGTACAAGTCATACAAAATCATCAAATCCCCTTAACACAACAATCTCTATAAATATTCAAACTATTAGTAAGACGATTCAACGAGCTAAACTGGAAAAAGTTGATTATAAGCAATCCAGAACAAAATCTAAATGGGGAATTATTAATTTATCCGCGTGTAATAATATACATTCCGATATTTCAATTGATCTAAATACTTCAGTGAATAGTATGAACGATGGAAAAAAGAATATTTGTTACACTTATGATAACCATTATCATTATTATTGTTGTTATTATTACTATTACTATTATTGTTATCATTATCACTATTATTCATATCAAAAATCACCTTTGTTTACAACGTTATGGTCTGAGCATATCTTGAATAGTGGGAGTAAAGATATCCAGCTGGTAAGTAAAGAAATAATCTTTCTTTATTTTAAATTTAATTAGAGAGTTTACGAAAAATTTTCTTATCCAGTTTCTGTTAAGATAGTTTTCACCGAAACTAATGTCAGCGGGAAAATGACGAATAAAATCATCTATTGTTAGGAAAATTCAATTATATAGTAGATAATAGTGAACTATCGGGAATGAAAGAGTAAATCTAATTAATAAACCTATATTTCAACAAACAACTTAATCTCAGTTTGACTATTCAAAAGCTTCCTTTAGTATAACTTAATGATCCGTTATATGATAAAACAACGGTTACTTTTAAAGTAAATTCATCATAATTTGCCTTTATTGCGTAACATATTTCAGTATAATCCCTGATTTCATTAATTCTAGACAGTGGTTTAAAGTTAATACAACAGATCAGATACACAAATAATATTATATGAATTTAATTCCAGTGTATGTCTTCATTAAGAATTTGTTTTTCTGAACAATTCTTTCATAAATTATTGTATTGGATATTTATGTGAAGTGACATGAAAGTTCAAACTGAAGAGAATTTAAATTCACTTGGTAATGATTGGCTTGTATCTTCCCATTGAGGTTTAAGACTGCAATTGACCAGTCTGTTATTGGCATATGTGCATACTGTGCGTATGCTTCGATATTGCCTTAATTCACAAGCTTTCTGTATGCAATTATGGATAGTGGCTAGCAGTGGAATCCAGGACGCGCGTTTCGTCCTATTTGGGACTCGTCAGCTGGATGTACCTGCATCTCGTGACCTCATTTTGATTAAAACATTCCCGAAATCGCCAGTAAATTTTAAAAGCAGTTTTTTGATATCAAATATCACATAAAATTAATTTTTGTAGCTTAAGGGACAAGTTTACATTGAGTTTCATTTATACAAATGGGAATGAGAAGCGAATAATTCATTAGAGTATTTATATTACTTGCCGAATTTAAGTAGGCAAACATTTTATGTTAAACATGAAATTTTAAGAATAGGAGGTATGATGAAATCTATGTATTTTAGGACTTAAGCGGTACCTCAAACGAAAATCAAGCTGAAAAGACTAACACTACAAAGGTAGCGTAAACCTTTCATGTTTCATAGGTATATATAAAATACCCATCAAGTTGAGATAAGAATTTGGAACAATAAGTACAGCAAACTGATGAAATATTTGAATTCGATCAAAATCATTGTCAAGAAAATAGGAAGGTAAAAAATGACACATTGCAGTTACTAACACCGAATAAAGTGGTTGAAATTTGTTATTCCTTATCAGTTATCCAACCGGATATAGAATTGTTATACTGTAGAAGAGTTTAAAAAGAAAATGGAGATTAAATCAAGACACTGGACCAAATAATTGGCTATTTATCTAAGCTGTGTCAGGAAGCTATAACTTTCTGATTACGGTCTCTGAGATACTCATAATCTATGACAAAAAGAATTAGTTGATTTATCTCAAAAAAACGAAAGCAGCAGTGAAGATTCATTCATAACTTATCTCTCCTAAATTTAGAGTTTTAATACCACTTTATACTTTAGTTTCCCTGCTTCATTCAACACTTTTAAGTGCTTAGATTTTTATAACATTTGATGATATTACATTTAATCTTTGTGTTCTTATCTCTGTAATCTTATCAATATGTGATAATATGACGTACGGTAAATTGAATCAATACACATTTATATAAACTACTTTATTGCTCGTAGTTGGCAAACACTAATCTAACTATCGACCTCCAGTATACACAGATCTCTAATCTAAACTGATCTTTGTTAGTAATCATTTCAGATAAATAAACTAGAACCGTTTTGGAAAATATTACTCCGACAGTATGATCGATATATTACCAATATTTACTTTAAGTAGATTTTGACGTCAATTTGCAATTTGAGCGATAAAATCGATCAGCACTAATAAGAATTTGATATACATGACATTTGGTCACTATCCAGTAATCAGTCAATTGTAAGAGACCGTGATTGTTATTTATTAATGTTTGTTAGACATAAGATTTCCATATTATTTAGTTGTTAACATTCTATGTAATTGTTTGGAATTAATTAAGAGTATTTTTACGTAATACATCAATTAAACACTAAATTTAGATATGCTCTAAAAACCATTACAAAATCAACATCGTTGTTTAGTTAATCTTGTTTAATGTCCTAACTATTTCCCATGTTTCATGTGATCAACATTCCTATATAACCTAATGAAATAGTTTATATCATACTTCTGGGCATTTCACATCAATGACTATAAATATTCATCATATGATCATGTTAGTCATAGGTTACTAAAGAAATAACACGTAAATACTTTCTTAATGCACAAGATGTAATGTAAGTTATACGTGGTATTTATAAATATTAGGCCAAATGTAATTCTTACAACACTATCCAAATTAGTTTATTATAAATTATTGATGAATAATACACTAACTAATTCTGTCTTTTAGTTTTCACATAAAGAGATTTTGAAATCACTTCAATGATAATCATTCATAGGTTTCTCTTAAAGGATGGATGACATTTACAGTATTGTATATGTGTACACAAAATTGGATAGGTATAATTTCAGAAGATTATTATTCTAAATAAATATCATACTGACTAGTTCGATATTCTTAAATTCCTTATTCATTACACTAATTAATAAGAAAAATTGTTGGACCTTTGGATTGGCATATTTTATTGAAATGAGAAATAGACAACAACAAAAACACTATTATGCAATCATTGACTTTTAATTCTATAAAACAGCACACATAATAAAACAAATTTTGTCTATGATATCTCACAAAATAATTTCAAGTTTATAAGGACAAGCTACTTGTAGCTAGTTAGACTGAGTTACCTACCAAAAACTACGATAGTTTTGTAAATAAATTTGGCATTGGTTTTTGATAGATTTCAGGATTTTTATTTATGATTTTGTATTATTATTGAGTTTAAATAACTTTTATGTTATGAATCAACTTGTAATTTCAATAGTTGAAATCATAAGTCAATTGAGGCTAGACCACTATGGAAAACCTGGAAGCACTGGATGGCCGTTTCGTCCTAGTATGGGACTCCTTAGCAGTGTACATCCATGACCCCGCCTCTGGAGATTCGAAATCAGGACCTACTGGTCTCGTGTGCGAGCATTTAACCACTAGACCAAAATAGGATGAAACGGCTATCCAGTGCTTGCAGGTTTTACACAGTTGTGTAGCTCCAATTGACTCATGATCTCAACTATTGAAATGACTGAAATCTTCACAAAACCCCTTCTGATACGAATTAACTTGTACTAACAATATTCGACTTATACAAAGTTTATTTTACCAATATGATATTATTTGACATAGTTATCTGAGTAGAAAAGAGACTTGAATAGGATGCTACAAATGGTTGATAGTTAATTATTTATTGATTAAGATGGTTACATAGTTATAATTACTAAATGGAATCAAATCCGGAATGAATATAAAAAAATACAGAGCAACTGATTGATTTTGTTAATAAAGGAGCAAGAAAATTAACATAGCATGGAAAAAAAAGGAAATTTTCTCATTACTCTAGGCTATGAAATGGCTTAAAGATTACCAGGGCAAATTCATGGTTACGACAAACTATTTCTGTACAGACAAATGGGGTTTGAATTTCCGGTTAACCATGGTTACTATAAACTTAAGAATTCGTCATTAGCATTTCCTATACAATGTTTTCGAGGCTGTATTGATGCCAGTTCGATGTTCTGTTTATATGTATATGTACGAACAGATTATTTGAAATGTAAAGCGTAAATACATCACATTTCTCAGATCAAATCCGTCATTTTATTTCTCGATCAAACTTTATAAATAGGACTAATTACTCTAAACTGATTGATTATTAAATTGACCTATCAATAACTAATACAGAATATTCAACAAATAAAAGTCAATAATATTTCATACACATAAACGGTGCATCATTAATTTGGACTAAGTCATCATTACAATTAACTATATATTTATCTTTACTTTAGTAAGTTGATTAAATGATGAGATAAATGGCAATAGATTGTTAAATAAATCAACGTTTAGGAGCACTAAATGTTCATTCAATTATCGTTTACAGTCGATTTAGAAAGTTAAGACCTTCTATGTTAAACTTTATGTTTATGTATATGTTAGTACTTTTTCATAAAGTAGATGGTTGATGAGAAAATTATCACACTAACTTACAGAAAGTAGTAAGAGAGTATACATATTGTATTTATCAATCCATCATCTTTAATTCTGAAGCCATATAAGGGTTTTCAATTATAGTCCCTAATCACATGTATATAGAGTATCATGTTAAAAACAAGCAATTATTGATCTACACAATTTAAAGAATAAAATAGGAATAATTTCACAATTATGAGTTAATTAAATGGTGTTAAATAAACACACTATTAGATAATGTTGTTTCCAGAAGAATTGAGTTAGTCATCATTATTAATTCAGCCTTACTGAATACATCGGTTAAGTAAGCGATGAAATTTCTACGCCTGTTGACTAGATAATAATAACTGAATAAAGTATTAAAAATACAATGAAGAAACAATTCTCTGAAATCTTAAAAATGTGAGATTACGTGTAATGTTAATTATTGTAGAAAACAGTTCATTGAAGAGAATTGGTATATTGAAAAGTGGATGTATCCAGTAAGTTTGTTTTTCAATTCAAATATGAACTGATTAAACTATTTGCATTTATTTTAAATATACACATGGTGAAAGCATTCATAGACTTGAGCTATATACTCACTAGCAACTATTAGCAGTTATTAATACATAATTTTTAATTAAGTGAATCAGTTTACAACAATGAAAATGTGATGTAATATTGATCTCATACATTAATATGATACACAACAACAAAAATTGAATATAGTTTACATTAGAGACTAATTTTACTTAGACAGCTATCAAGAAATCGAAAGCACTGGATACCTATTCTATTCTAGTGTGGGACTCCTCATATTTCTGCACTCGTGAGCTTTCCAGGAATCGAACCTTAAATTTTCAGATAACTGAGTTAGTACCCAAGTGTTCATATCTCCAAATTCAGTAAGTGTTAGATATTGTGAGACTACCATCCATTATTATTTATAGTACTAAACCTAGTCCCAAGAATACTTCTTATGATAAGTTATTACTTTTTTTTCGATTTGTTTCTTATTTTAGGGTTCAAAAACACCCAATATTAATTGTGACGCTTATACTCAAAAATTTAATATCACTCAAAACTCCAATGAAAAGCACACTGGTAATATGGAGAAAATATTCATAGAAAACGAAACAGATAATGTAAGTTAATGTTATTCTTGTGTTATATAACAATATTTAAGTGGTTAAGATACTTTTAGCCATTAGGTCCTATTTGATTGTTTATTTTTGAATAAATTGCTAGTATCACTAATTCTTAGACATAACACGTTACTCAAAACCAAGTATGGAGACTTTCATTTAGTTACTAAGTTGAATTAGTTAATTAATTTTACCAATTTCATAAATTAATAGAATTTTCGCCAACAGATTATCATACGATTTTGCATACCACTAAATATGTTATAATAAAATTACTGGAGTTATAAACGTGAATACTTCCTACATGATAAGCAGTTTAATGTAGGATTCAATTTCCACTTTTTACAAGAATTTCTAAGAAAATGATCAACATTTTATTATTGACTTCAATTAATATAACTTAAATTTAAGATCTCATTCACTTTCAATTCATTTAAGACGTTACCTTGTGAATGGTTAATAATAATAATAATGAAATTTATGCATTTGAAGTCCATGCAGTCAACAGAGAGATGATGATCAAGTTTCGAATTATATCATAATCACATTTTACTGGAACATGTCTGTTGACGATTGATGTTCTCTAGATATGTAATTATTTTTTTAAGATCTATCATTCCATATTCAGTTACGATTCTATAATCCAAGAAAGTGGCAATAATGATAATCATTCAGGTAAATGGAAAATACAATTCTTCAGACCATTATTATTAGATTGTTGCAATTAGTATTTCTACAAGCCTGTGTGATTAATCCTAATCTTTGTTAAGATTAGAATAATTCATCTTTTCAAAGGTCAGTTTAAATCACATAGGTACGTAATAATACTGATTGCTACAAGATAACGAAATATTAGACACTTTATAAGGAGTTCATAACAAGAATCAGAATATTCTTTATTAACCTGTCAACTCAATCATATACAATTAGTTTAAGGTCGAATTTATGAAACAATGAGTAGCTGATTAGGTTCGCTCAGATAATTAAGTTACAAAAATTTAAATGATCATAACTGTTGTGAGGTAGTAACTCACTGAAGACATTGGTGGATGTGTCACTCAATTTCGTGGGTTGGTTGAAGTCAGACATCAATACAGCTGGACACCGGCTCAGTGGTCTAGAAGTTAAGCGCTCGAGGGCGAGACCGAAGGTCCCGGGTTCGAGTCCCATGAGTGGGGTCGTGGATGCGCACTGCTGAGTAGTCTTATAGTAAGACGAATCAGCCGTCCAATGCATCCATGTTTCTCATGGTGGTCTAGCTTTGATTGACTTATGAATCCAACTATTAACTCGTTTCTGTAAAGTTTGTGTTATTCACTGGATTTAAAAGAAATTTTATCTGGTATCATGTATGTGAACAAAAAATAAAATGAAATAAACTAGTAATCATAAATATCGAGCGAAATAAGCTGTAACGTATTGATTATTTGGTTCATGCCTGTAAACTGGTGTGAATTCTGTAATTATTATTTTCAGAATATATATTATTATTACTATTATTTTATCATTAGAGCAAAGTCCAATGTCAACCTACATCTGAACAGACTTATCACCTTTTTTAGAACAAGAGTTTATATATGATAAAATAAAATTAGATTCCATGGTTACTTAATTATTCTGTTGTGAGACATGAAGGTCCTAGTTTCGATCTCCGATGGAATCGTGCATGTGCACTGTTGAGTTCTATAATAGCTCTCAAGGGCTTCCTGTTTTTTTAATGCTTGTCGAAATTCGTCAGTCAGTCAGTAACAACGTAGAACTTCGTACGTACGTACATCAGTTCGAGTTGCCACACCACATTAGCACAGAGATGCAGTGGTCGATTCAAATCCCGTAGTGGTAGAGGTAGCAAGAGTATAAGCAGTAATCGGGAAGATTAGGGTTTGGAGATGTTATTTAAAGAGTATAATCCAGTGAAATAAATTTGGAAAGAGGGAAAAAGGGACATGAAGAATTCAGAAGATTAGAGTTTGGGAGAACACAAAAAGTGGATGCACCTGCGCCATTGCAAACGATTTCGAGCCATGTAATTCAGGGTCTCTAACCATCGGTTGCTATCATCTCGCGGTCCCCAACCAGGTAGTCTACACCTACCAACATGACTCAGTTCACTTGTCAGTGACTTCATGGACTTGTGCCATGTTTTGGTTTGGCCGCCCCTAGCTTTCTTCCAACCTACTCCTATACCACTGAACATAGCACGTCGAGACAGTCGGTCGTTGGGCATACGTAACACGTGTCCCAGCCACCTCAACTGATGAAGTTTCACTACGTCATCAATTGATTTGCCATCCTTACCTAGTACCCGTTTCCTAACAACTGCATTACTTACTCGATAGTCCCAGGATATACGAGCAATATTTCGAAGACACCTATGATCGAATACTAGTAACCTACGGATATCCTCTACTCTTACCGGCCATGTTTCACTGCCATAAAGAAGGACGGAACGAACTGCTGCACAGTAAACACGTCCTTTGGTTGATAGACGGATATCTCGCCTACGCCATAAATGACGCAAGTTGGCAAAAGCTAGTCGAGCCTTCTGTATCCGTGCTGAGATTTCGTCACACACCAGACCACAAGGGCTGATGAGACTTCCAAGATAAGTGAAGCGGTCGACACACTCAACTACTTCACTCCCTATCACTAGTTCGGGTGTCGATGTAACCCAATCCTGAAGCAACATTTTGCATTTCGAGGGAGAGAATCGCATCCCGAACATGCTTGCATTGTTGCTTAGAGTGGTCAGAAGACTCTGCATTTTGTCAGCGTCTTCACCAAATAAAACTATGTCATCTGCATATTCTAAGTCAACAAGTGAACCTCCTGGTAGAAGTTCAACCCCTGGAAATTTAGATGAGGAGAGTGTTATCTCTAAAAGTACGTCAATGACAAAGTTGAACAAGAATGGGGAGAGTGGACAGCCCTGACGAACACCACTTGAGGTGATCAATTCTGATGACAGTTCGCCATAAGCTCTCACTCTACCAGTTGTGTTCGAGTAGAGAGCCTTTATAAGGTTAATGTACTTCTTTGGTACTCCTTTCAGTGACAAACACTGCCATAGAACCTCACGATCAACGGAGTCGAATGCCGCCTTAAGGTCGAGAAATACTACCATTGTGGGGCGTCTGAATGTGTGTCTGTCTTCTAGAACCTGACGTAGTGTGAATATCTGATCTATACAACCACGTCCAGGTCGAAAACCAGCCTGGTTTTCTCTAGTCTGCTCTTCACGAGCTTTAGTTAGGCGTCGAAGTATTATTGAGGCCAATATTTTAGACACTATATTAGTCAAACTGATTCCTCTGTGATTGTCACAAGAGGACTTTTGTCCTTTCTTAAAAACTGGCACAATCAGTGATTGAGACCAGTCAGATGGGATTACGTCCAGTTCCCAAATTCTACCTAAGACCTCAGTTAATCTTGCTGCTAATACTGGACCACCATCCCTAAAAATCTCAGGAGTAAACCTGTCAGGGCCTGCTGCTCTCCCTCGTTTCAGATTTCCTATGGCTTTTTCAACTTCGTAAAGGGACGGAGGACCTACATTAACTTCCCATGCAGGTTGACTGGAGATCGCGGGAAACCGAAGTGTGGCTGAAGGCCAGTTGAACTGATCCCTAAAGTGTTCTGCCCATCGATCCAATCTCCTGGATTGAGAATGAATAATATATCCATCTTTCTCTGAGATTGTTTCGCTAACGGTCGGGTTCCTAATTCCGGTTTCCTTAACGAGTCTGAACAATTGTCTGCTATTACCTATTGCCGCTGCCTTTTCCATCTCTCTTGCTTTCGCTACCCACCACTGTTCGCGATCATTGCGTAGACTTCTTGTCAGCTTGCGCTTAAGCTGACTCCGCTCTTCATTATGTTCAGAGCCAGGTGGAATGAGTTTCCGAGCATCTATCAGTGCGATAGATGCTGCTGAGATCCAGTGTTGCTCCCTAACTTTACGGTTTACCTTACTAGCAGATATCACTGCTGTTTCCACAGCTTTTCGGATATCGTTCCATGCTGCCTCGGGGTGGGCATCACATACATGGCTGCCTAACTGTTTTCCTAGTTGTTCCTGAAATATATTCTTAGCTTGACTATCATTAAGTAGGGCCCTAAGAGGTTTCCTTGCAGGATCTTTCCTACGTCCAGTAAGACGCAAGCAAATACGCGCTCGCACTAGAGCATGATCTGAATCTAGGCATGTGCTCCAGAATGAGCGACAGTCTTCTATCGAGCCCCTCCATCGGTGACTGATAGCGATGTGATCTATTTGGGTTCAACGTTGGGACGAATTAGGGGGTCGCCATGTTAAAAGATGTTTTTCCTTATGCTTAAAGTTAGTATTTGCAAGGAACAGGCGGTTATCTGAGCATAGCTGCAACAGACGGTCGCCATTATCTGTTCTTTGAGCCACGACACCATAGGATCCACCTAGGTGTCTTTCCTTATCGCTTAGTTTACCTACTTGAGCATTAAAGTCACCGGTCTGTGACTTTAATAACTTTCACTAGTTTCCACAAACCTTCGTACTGATATCTAATTAAGTCTTAAAGAAATGGCAAACTGCTATAAGATTGGTACAACAGGAAGATAAGTTCTGATACAACTCAAAATAATTTTTAGAAATATCTATCCAGTCGATTTACACATTACCAATGTACTTTTACTCTTTTTGGTAATAACGAACAGATGATTCAAAAGTTAATCATGTTCAATCATTCCCTATTATTTACTTTATCAATCAATAAAAATTCGTATACATTTAAAGTGTTAAATTTTTACTGTAATCACCTGACAAGGAATGAATGTGAAATCGTGATGGTATTGTGAGGTTGATTTACAATGTGAATATTTTTTTTTAGAAAAAAAAGAGTAAAACTAAGATTTGATAGATGATATACAGTTTAAATAGAAGTAACACAACATTTTGACGTTTCCATCGAATTAGTCAGATATAGTCAGGTATTTTTATGTATTATGAAAGATGTATAGTTACTAAGCGGTTCATAATTAGCGAATTAATTCGATGTAATCATTTTCCAAAATTGTGATGTGATCATCAGTCAGGTTTTATATTATAATTTGCTTGAGCACTAGATCGATAACACTAGTAGGAACCATGTTATGGTCACTTTATCTTTGCATTAACGTTCTTGATGTCAGCATTAACCTACCAACCAAGGTTATCTTATTTGAAGATATAAACCAGATTTACACCGATTAGAAATACAATCTGTAATCTTAAAATTGTAACTTCTTTCTCTTATTATACCATTACTAAATTTAGTAGCTGACAAAGTTGATAATATTAATTGTTATCAGAAAGCGGGTTTTTGCGGAGACTGTAGTAATTGAATAGTCGAATTTATGAGTCAATTAACTCATGAATTCAACCATTAATTTTTATTGTAACTAAGTAAAAAGGTGAAGGTCAATTTACTGCTCAATAATAGTCACTAGTTAATATGTAGGACAATTATATGTCGAGACTCCATATGCTTTTCTATGACTACATAATTTCTCTAAGCTCAGATCATCTGGAATGTTTATACATTTCTGATGATATATTTTCGATATGAGTTGTATTTTAAGTCAATTTTGCGTAGAGAACATGATGTAATGTCGGATATGTCGAAGGAAATCTTGTCAATAAGAATATTAACATATTAGTCACAAATACACCCAGAACAACCTGACTTTTTACTTAAAACAATAAAATATTGTTCTTTCGCTTAGAATTATACTCGTTCAAGATCTTGTATGAGAAGAGTTAACCTAATTCTCTGAAACTTGAAATTTGAGCGTCCGAACTCCATCACAAATAGTGTGGAGTTGATAGTTTGATGCTTAGAATGATTAGGCTAGATATCTAGTGCAATCTTCCTCAACAATTTTAACCTGCACACTTCCGCTTGATAATTATCTCACTCGAAACTAACGAATCTTAATTATACATTCTTAAATTTGAATTGATATATATATGTTGAGATAATTTCATACCCACCTTTCGGTTTATGACTTAATCACAATTGAACTACACATCTTGTGTGAGTATATATGGAACGGGGTTTTAACTTGGAACCCAGCGACTGGAAGCTAAATATTTTAATCACTAAGCCACTACTCACTTAAATGAAAAGCACCATCAACTGGATAATCGAAGAACATATAAAATCATACGAAAACTTACCGCGAATTTTGTTGAAATCTTGGATAAGTTTAATATATCTTATATATTTATTGCGATAAAATGACATGAAAGTTTGTTTCTTTTTTTAAATAATAGGAAGTAATGCGATATATGTCTAAGTTTGATTTGATCAAAAACTGTGCTCAAATAAGATCCGAAAACCACAAACCAAACAGATTGGTAAGTTCTAATGATATATATATATATATATATATATATATATATATATATATATATGCATGCGCATAAACTATCACCTATCTGGACTCAATAGCTAAGTGGATAACGCGATGGGGTTTGAAGCGAACGGTACTGTGTACGAGTCCTAGAGTAAACATCAACTCTGGGATGCAGACACATCCAGTTAATGAGTCCCAAATATGACGAACCGTGCATTCTGGATTCCACTGCTAACCACCATCTATCTCTGATCATAATACTTTTGACTTAAGGCAACATCGAGGCAATCCATACAAGATGCACATATGCCAATAAAAGACTGATCAACTACAGTTCTAAACATCAAAGAGAATATTGATAAAACCAACACAAAATTAATTGAGTTATGCATGTTTAGTTGTTTGACTGTAGTTTGTGAATGTTAAAAGATTATATATATACATACTTTTAAATAATGAAAGATTTGTTATTTGTGATTTTAGAAAGATCTACAGTTATCAGTTAATTTACGTCCGCCAGAACCTGTTGGTTGTCAACTACTGCAAATGAATTCAGCACCAGGTAAGTTTAATATTATTCATAACTCTATTAAAGGGATACTAGACACAAAAATAAGACATTATTGAGGAACCACTTCCGAGATAGCTGTCATCGTGAAAGTTAAAAATCAGGTATACTGATCAGCTGTTTTGTTTGAGTTGGGATTGTGGAATAATTCGTTTCTTTGTTTTCCACTCAGCATGTTATGGATTGAGAAAAGTAGAAAATTTAATGACGGGGGTTGCGGATGTCACATGATTTTACTTGTTCAAGTTTAGAGTAATTAATTAAACATAACTAAACTTATTATGCTTTTCATGATGTAAACATTGTAAAACTATTAGGTCTAGTAAGACAGTATATATACAAACCACATAGCTCAAAAAGATCGAAAAAGTTTTTGCAGTCGGTATTCATTAGCAATAACTGGTAAAAAAATTTACAAAGAGGCACGATTACGTATCATAAGATTAAAGGTATAATTGACAATAAAGTGGTAACTGAAAGCCCTCAAATACCCTGGTATGGCCGAGGGTCGGGAGAGTCCATTGTCCCTGTCGAAATGCTGTCATATGGCCACGTGTATACAGCTACTTCTAAGGAAATCCTATTGACTTCCTTCTCGTGGTGTGTTGTTTACGAAATTGAGGGGAATAAAGGTTAATGTCCGGCGCTTTAACCAGGTTGGTGGAAACGGAGGGTTACCTAGGAGGGTTGGAAATCCCTGATTCCAAACTAATGGTGCATATGGGATTCAGGATCTTGAGAGAACAAAAGGTGTATGAACCAATTGTTGGTCACCAGCTACCATGGGACTGCATTTCCTTACGTTCCTCCACTGCCTTGTGGATTAGACCTTTAAGTCAGACGACCGGGAAGGGACCCCCTAGGAAAACAACCTGCTTCGGGCGCCCGGACAGTATCACAGCCCCTACACAAATCGAGTGTTTCGAGTGGCGCATATATATGTGGTGCCTCCTTGTACCAATGTTTATGTGTGACTGATAAAATCTGGTTTACTACAGAACTACTCGGGAAAGAGACATAAAAACAAATGGTAGCAAGAGTTACTCAAGTATCGTTTGTTGTCCTCTAAAACCAATGACAAGTATATCACTGAAACAAGTTTTATCTATCCAACTGCTATCGTTACAAAAAATCATCTTAGCCCGAAATAATGAGCATAAACTATAAAACTAAAAGATTGTCTTCTCCACTTTGCGCTAGCAATCAATAGAATGACCTAAAATAATGGGATGTATTCCTTATTTTACCATTTAGATTAGACTGTCTAATTATAGTCTTTATTTACAAACATAAAACAATATAAAATTACAGATCCTAGTAAATAAATTTAGTAAATGTATACCTTTCATGAAGTATGAAGGGACTAGTTGTCGACCTTTTCACATACTTCGTGAAACAGTTGTTTGACAAAATAATAGCGTATTGTAAATTCAGTAACAGACCAGTGTTTACTTAGGACTGTCACTACTCCTGGGGGAGCATAGGCCTCACACCAGCATTCTCCAACTCTGTCCTGGGCAATCCTTTTCAGGTGCTATTCATCCTTTGGCATCTACTTCCAATTCTCAGCGCAGTGTGTTCTCTGGTTGTTATTTTCTCCGTTTCCCTTCAGGATTCCAAGTTAGTGCTTGCCTTGTGATGCTGCTTGGAGATTTTCGAAATGTATGTTCTATCCACTCCCAGCGTCTTTTCCTAATTTCTTCTTCAGCTGGAGGCTGGTTTGTCCTCTCTCACGGTAGGCTGTTGGCATCCAGTTAACGGACATTGAGTATCTTGCGTAGGAAATTGTTTATAAATACTCACAATTTTATGATGATGGTTGTAGTAGTTCTCCAAGTTTCAACACCGTACAGTAGGACCGTCTTGATGTTCGTATTGAAGAATCTGACTTTGATATTGGTTGACACTTGTTCCGAGTTCCACATGTTCCTCAACTGCAGGAAAGCGGTCCTTATTCCCCAATCCTTGTTTTTACGTCTGCATCGGATCCGCCTTGTTCATCGATGATGATGCTGTCCAGGTACGTGAAAGTTTCCATCTCCCAGAGCTTCTCCATCAAGTGTTAATGGGTTGGTGTTCTCCATGTTGCATCTGAGAACCTTGCCATTTATCTTATGTTTGTTGAAGTCTACTGATGCAGAGGCTGCTGTTACATTGGCTGTATTCACCTTCATTTGTCCGCGTGTATAAGATGGAAAGGTCAAGTCATCTGCGAAGTCCGGATCGTCTAGCTCCATCTTAACTGTCCATTGTATTCTGTGCTTCCTCTCATATGTGGAGGTTTTCATAATCCATTAAACCACCAGAAGATGTAGCAGGGGAATAAGCAGCCTTGCTTGACTCCGGTCCATACTTGGAATGCATATGTCAGCTCTCCTTCATGCACCACTTTGCACTGTAACCCATCGTATGAATTTGATTGACGATTTTCTCAGGCACACTATGGTGACAGCGAATGTTCCATAAGGTCCACATATCCACACTGTCAAATGCTTCTTCATAGTCAAGGGAGTTGATGTATAGTGGCGAGTTCCATTCATTGTTCAATAATGATTCGGTCTATGCACGACTGGTCCTTACGGAATTCAGTCTGTCGATCTTGAGGTTGGGTGTCTACTGAATCTTTCATCCGGTTCAGCAACACTGTTGAAAACGTCTCCTGGTATTGATAGTAGTGTGGTACCTATTTAGTTCTCACACCTCCTTTGTTCGGAACATATTCTTCGTGACCAAAATACAGAAGCATCTCTCCTGAATCTATCCTTTTCTGTCCAGCTTCGGTCCTATGGGTTTCACTGATTCCGAGTACCGTCAATTTGTATCTCCTTATTTCCATAACTATTTCATTAGTTCTCCTAGTATCCCACATTGTCCGGACATTCCATCTACATATATAATTATTGTTGCTCTGGTTGTTAGAAGGGGCGCTGATCTCATGACTTCCAAAGAATCTCGGCTTTCATCATGAGGCATCAAAATTCTTCCTTCAACTCGGAGGACAGAGTTTAAATGGTTTAATTTGTCTAATCTGGTTAGCGTTTCTTAGCAAGGTCGTTTTTTACGGGATGTGTCAGCCGACCCCATGCCCAACCCTCCTCATTTACCCGGGCTTGGGACTGGCAGTAACCCTAGGAGAGCTACAGACGGGAACAGACTAGTGGACAAACTTTAAATATGCCACTGTTGAATCTACAGACGAGCGAATCATGACCATAATACTGGTGAATTTAGTCAACGAATTAGTGAGTTAATTCATATTACTGACACTTCATATTTACTTTCCTCTAAAATTTGAATATTTTTTGTCTATTGAAAAATTTTAGTTACGAAAGGATTGTGAACACTGAATACATGAAGCTATGGTGAAACCTAATTTTATATATACGAAAAAAATACAGAGTTAGACCATAAAAGAATTTCATCAGTGGGAAGGAAAAATATTCTCCGACTTCTTGTCAGTAAAGATGTATAGTTCGATTATTATGTATTGTATCATAAGAAAATCAGATGCAAAAACTAATTTATCTTCATTTTTGTTAAACTTCTTTTACACCGTTTCACTGACCGAATGTCAAACAACCCTTTTATATCTGCATTGTGTATTTATCGCCAACTGGTCCATTATAACAGATACACACCTCCCTAAATCAGTAGTGATCACTGTGTTTAGTCATCACACTAAATGTTCTTAAACCATGTCAGTACAGATCAGTTCTGAACTATCATTTTAAATTTGACGAGTGTAAAATGTGTAGCACTGAATGTAGTTGAGATGGTGGAGAAGATTTGTAGCTCAGGTGGATGATTGATTTGTCTTCCTTTGTAATTTCATTCTTTGGTTTGCATAGGATTGATTGTAGCGACTTTGTCGGCCTGTGTGCCACACCTATCCCGAAGGTTTTCAGCAGTCTCGTTGAGGTTTCTGGTATGCCTTCTATGTATGGTAGGGCGATCCTTTTGTTGATTTCTGTGCTTGACTTAGGTTCTGATGCTGCGTGCGGTTGGTATTTTTTGACGAAGTTGATTGGGTAGCCGTTCTTTTGAAGTACGTCGTTCAGGTATTCCTCTTCATATTTTCGTGCTGCCAGTGTGTCCTCGCTCACAAAATCGACTGCGTACACACTTTGTTCAAAAGGGCGAGGACACACTGAAACGCACTGGAAGGCATATCAGAAACCGCAACGAGACTGCTGAAAATCTTCGGGGTAGGTGTGGCACACAGACCGACAAAATCACTACAATCAATCCTATCAGTCAGTCAGTCAGTAACAACGTAGAACTTCGTACGTACGTACATCAGTTCGAGTTGCCACACCACATTAGCACAGAGATGCAGTGGTCGATTCAAATCCCGTAGTGGTAGAGGTAGCAAGAGTATAAGCAGTAATCGGGAAGATTAGGGTTTGGAGATGTTATTTAAAGAGTATAATCCAGTGAAATAAATTTGGAAAGAGGGAAAAAGGGACATGAAGAATTCAGAAGATTAGAGTTTGGGAGAACACAAAAAGTGGATGCACCTGCGCCATTGCAAACGATTTCGAGCCATGTAATTCAGGGTCTCTAACCATCGGTTGCTATCATCTCGCGGTCCCCAACCAGGTAGTCTACACCTACCAACATGACTCAGTTCACTTGTCAGTGACTTCATGGACTTGTGCCATGTTTTGGTTTGGCCGCCCCTAGCTTTCTTCCAACCTACTCCTATACCACTGAACATAGCACGTCGAGACAGTCGGTCGTTGGGCATACGTAACACGTGTCCCAGCCACCTCAACTGATGAAGTTTCACTACGTCATCAATTGATTTGCCATCCTTACCTAGTACCCGTTTCCTAACAACTGCATTACTTACTCGATAGTCCCAGGATATACGAGCAATATTTCGAAGACACCTATGATCGAATACTAGTAACCTACGGATATCCTCTACTCTTACCGGCCATGTTTCACTGCCATAAAGAAGGACGGAACGAACTGCTGCACAGTAAACACGTCCTTTGGTTGATAGACGGATATCTCGCCTACGCCATAAATGACGCAAGTTGGCAAAAGCTAGTCGAGCCTTCTGTATCCGTGCTGAGATTTCGTCACACACCAGACCACAAGGGCTGATGAGACTTCCAAGATAAGTGAAGCGGTCGACACACTCAACTACTTCACTCCCTATCACTAGTTCGGGTGTCGATGTAACCCAATCCTGAAGCAACATTTTGCATTTCGAGGGAGAGAATCGCATCCCGAACATGCTTGCATTGTTGCTTAGAGTGGTCAGAAGACTCTGCATTTTGTCAGCGTCTTCACCAAATAAAACTATGTCATCTGCATATTCTAAGTCAACAAGTGAACCTCCTGGTAGAAGTTCAACCCCTGGAAATTTAGATGAGGAGAGTGTTATCTCTAAAAGTACGTCAATGACAAAGTTGAACAAGAATGGGGAGAGTGGACAGCCCTGACGAACACCACTTGAGGTGATCAATTCTGATGACAGTTCGCCATAAGCTCTCACTCTACCAGTTGTGTTCGAGTAGAGAGCCTTTATAAGGTTAATGTACTTCTTTGGTACTCCTTTCAGTGACAAACACTGCCATAGAACCTCACGATCAACGGAGTCGAATGCCGCCTTAAGGTCGAGAAATACTACCATTGTGGGGCATCTGAATGTGTGTCTGTCTTCTAGAACCTGACGTAGTGTGAATATCTGATCTATACAACCACGTCCAGGTCGAAAACCAGCCTGGCTTTCTCTAGTCTGCTCTTCACGAGCTTTAGTTAGGCGTCGAAGTATTGTTGAAACTAATATTTTAGATGCTATATTAGTCAAACTGATTCCTCTGTGATTGTCACAAGAGGACTTTTGTCCTTTCTTATAGACTGGCACAATCAGTGATTGAGACCAGTCAGATGGGATTACGTCCAGTTCCCAAATTCTACCTAAGACCTCAGTTAATCTCACTGCTAATACTGGACCACCATCCCTAAAAATCTCAGGAGTAAACCTGTCAGGGCCTGCTGCTCTCCCTCGTTTCAGATTTCCTATGGCTTTTTCAACTTCGTAAAGGGACGGAGGACCTACATTAACTTCCCATGCAGGTTGACTGGAGATCGCGGGAAACCGAAGTGTGGCTGAAGGCCAGTTGAACTGATCCCTAAAGTGTTCTGCCCATCGATCCAATCTCCTGGATTGAGAATGAATAATATATCCATCTTTCTCTGAGATTGTTTCGCTAACGGTCGGGTTCCTAATTCCGGTTTCCTTAACGAGTCTGAACAATTGTCTGCTATTACCTATTGCCGCTGCCTTTTCCATCTCTCTTGCTTTCGCTACCCACCACTGTTCGCGATCATTGCGTAGACTTCTTGTCAGCTTGCGCTTAAGCTGACTCCGCTCTTCATTATGTTCAGAGCCAGGTGGAATGAGTTTCCGAGCATCTATCAGTGCGATAGATGCTGCTGAGATCCAGTGTTGCTCCCTAACTTTACGGTTTACCTTACTAGCAGATATCACTGCTGTTTCCACAGCTTTTCGGATATCATTCCATGCTGCATCGGGGTGGGCATCACTTACATGGCTGCCTGTTTTCGTAGTTGTTCCTGAAATATACTCTTAGCTTGACTATCATTAAGTAGGGCCGTAAGAGGTTTCCTTGCAGCGTCTTTCCTACGTCCAGTAAGACGCAAGCAAATACGCGCTAGCACTAGAGCATGATCTGAATCTAGGCATGTGCTCCAGAATGAGCGACAGTCTTCTATCGAGCCCCTCCATCGGTGGCTGATAGCGATGTGATCTATTTGGGTTCAACGTTGGGACGAATTAGGGGGTCGCCATGTTAAAAGATGTTTTTCCTTATGCTTAAAGTTAGTATTTGCAAGGAACAGGCGGTTATCTGAGCATAGCTGCAACAGACGGTCGCCATTATCTGTTCTTTGAGCCACGACACCATAAGATCCACCTAGGTGTCTTTCCCTATCGCTTAGTTTACCTACTTGAGCATTAAAGTCACCGGCCACTATTACTACATCCGAGCGCTTAGCTTTTCGGAGAAGGTCCGAAAGCTTTCTGTAAAACTCATCTTTTACATCATCTGAGCTGCAGTCAGTTGGAGAATAGGCAGAGACGACGAAGAGGCAACGACGAGTGTCCCTATCTTTCCGGATTCTTACTGTTCCGTTCAGTCGGACAGCGCACAAACGACTGTCTACTGGGATCCACTCTAAGAGAGCTAGTTCTGCCCTAGGACTCAATGCTATACCTACGCCGGCGAGGCCACGGGAAGCGGAATCAGGGCTTCCAGATACACGAAGCGTAAATCGAGTCGGTTCTTTATTTTGGAATGGTGAGGTCAAATGAATGACGCTACTCGGATCCTGTATGCGCGTTTCGGAGACGCAGCACACATCGATGGCGCGAGATTCTAAAGTTTTAGCTAAGGAAGCCTGCTGTCCTATTTGGCACAGTGTTCGGACGTTAAAAGCTCCTACGTGTAGTTTAGAGCGTGGTTTCAGGACACCAGGAATGGCGTTCCACGTACTCGAATCGTTTGCCCTAGCGGTGCGAGGTGATAAAGAGACGTGAGGAGGGTTAGTCGGGGAGATAAGAGAGGTATTAGGAGGTATATGAAGGATTTGAATGTGACCACCTTGGTCTCTTGTGCTGTTACGGGTATGAGGGCTGATGTCACTTCCCGGCTGCCCACACCGTGGAAGGGTATTTCTTGAGGAACCTGAAAAGAAAATTGGATTAGTGTTGGTCTTGACGACCTGGGAGCGTGACCGCAGAGCCCAAGGGACAACTGCTTGAGGCCGGTCGCGCACGGCCTTTTTGTGGAAGGTTTTTGACGTGTTAGCTCCGTTCTTCAAAGGGCCTTACCACCGGAGACGGAAATCCGTGAGGTAAGGTGAGGTGTGCATTTTTAGGGTCGACCTTTTCTAACCCCATCCCTCCTTGTGGGAAGGCAGCATCGCTGTCATGCTGGTTGTCCGAGGGAAACACCTTACTGCTGTCACACCTCTCTACAGTCAGCAGTACGACTTCGCCCTCAGACCTTGAGTTGCTGCTTTTAGTCTTACCGTTCGCCAATCGACCTGCCTGGCATGGTAGAACCTGCAGGAACATATGTTCCAGCCAATATAGCTCGGTTGGGTCATCACGATAGGCAAGCCCGACCACCGCGTCAAGGTAGCAGCTTCGATCGGGAATCAATCCTATGCAAACCAAAGGATGAAATAACAAAGGAAGACAAATCAAACACCATCTACAAAATAAATTGTGCCAACTGCGAAAAATACTACATCGGACAGAGAGAACGCCTCATTCACCTTCGCCTTCATGAACATCAATTA